AGTTTTTAATAAAAAAAATATTATGGTATTAATATTGTTTAAATTAAAGCTGTGTAAAAATAATATATTAATTTTTATTTAATGTACTTACTTGATATTAACTCGGTTAAGTCCAATTTTCATTATTATATGCTTGTCAGTATTAGAACCGATACTACCCCCCTTTTTATATGGGGAAATGCCTACGCATACTCTCATGGACGGATTATGTCGGATTCGTACCAACTAAAACCCCATGGTGTTTCAGCTTATATTGGCAGGGTCAATGGAACGCTTTAGCACATATTGTGCCCCCAACAGTGTCGGTGGCCCCATGGCGACTCCTTCCCTGGAGAGTAGTACTGAACACAAATGACCCTTCCTTCACGGCCTCCAACTCCATCTTCGCAACGGAACCCCGCGAATCTGATGCGTGGAGGCCACGGAGCTAGAAAAAACAAGTACTCGGAAGCAGTAACCCACCCCCACCCCAGCGGCGGATTTGGTCTATAACTTCGCGGCCAACCAAATTTCGAACCCACGAAGCTATTCATAGACCAGATCTGCCAAACCGACAGAGACCGAATATTAAAAGAGGGGCCTCGCGATACCGTCACCCCTTTTCCACCACCATGATCCCCACCACGACCGCATTATCGGGGTTGCCCCGCCATAGTCGCGGAGGGTAGGGCGAATAGCGCATCACTATACCAGTAGTCCTCTTCTCCTGAGACTCGAACTCGGCTGCGGTGGTAGGCGAAGAAGACTCCGAGAGGGGAGTCTGCTGCCTACCAACACACCTGAAATGGCCTCACCAAGCCCACTAGGACGCACTAGCCACCTTGGGCCAGTCATGTAGGTTCCTTATTAGTTCAACGTGGGTAACCATGCCACGGCAAATAAGACATCGGCCACGACAACACGGGCACCTGTTAGAGGGGCCCGATATTATCCCTGATTGTGTCATGCTTGTTGCATGAAAAGTTGTTTTAACACTTTTTCTTAATAAAAGCATTTATTATACGTGATTTTATGTATTTTTATATTCTATATTATGTTTGAACCAAAAATAAGTCGACTTAGCCGGGGAAGGACCGCATTATTACAGAATACAGTTAATTCTGCCGTTTCATAAGGTGAAAGTAGAGAACATGAGATTCGTTTTACTTGAAACGCAGTATTCCATCTTTCTTCTCAGGGGTGACAACGCATCTTCATTTTGATTCTTAATCGATAGATGTTGATGTCTATGGGCCACATGACCCACTAGAAATCAGGTGGACTGTCTGCTCGTTTGTCACACATATTCTATAAAAAATTATCCGTACGTAGTTTGCAATTATGTATTTGCACCAAATCCGAATCTTTGTTCAAAATATGTAAACTAATGTTAACACGTACGTAATCTCCATAACAAATTAATAATATCCTAAGCCGGGTTTTCACTTAATCCGATTATCCATGTAGGAATAATTTCCTTAGTTGCCATCTAAAAGTCCTTTTGGTAGATAATAATAATAATATATAATAAATTCTTTATTTCAGATAATTGATATCCATATGTGGGTTAGTAACACAATAATAATAACAAGGGTTAGTTACAGTGGTAGTACAATTGTTTGCTTAAATTCTAGGGAAATAAAATAACTACACTGTGCCGAGACAGATCATCATGGGGGTGGATAGGGCCCAGTAATCAGTCTCTGCACAAGACATTTCCACAGCGGCGATGTATATCTATCAGTTACGGTACTCAGAATGCTGTTGTGACTGGCTCGTACCCTGCTAATAAGGGATGCGGTTTTTTTGCGTATGATGGCATTAAAACCGTCTGTTTGGTATGCAGCAAACATCCCTGATGCACTACAAAAACGAGGCAGTCCCAACAGCATCCTGAATATATTATTATATTGGATGCGCAGGGCTTCAAGCGATCTTTTGGTGTATTTGACCCACAGGCTCCCCGTGTATACGCTCTGGCAGTATGCTTTAAAAAGCGTAATCTTAACTTGTTTTGTACAACGGGAAAACCTGCGAGCCAACATATTACCTCTAACCGCTAGAGCCCTGCGCTCCCTTTCAATGTCAGCATCATCCTTGAGGTCACTAGTAATAATATGCCCCAGATATTTAAATTTAGTGACTCGTTTCACGTTCATGCCATTAAGGGTAACATTAACTGCAATATTGTGACATTTACCAGCGGCCTCAAAGACCATGTACTCTGTTTTTTTGACATTGTATAAACGTACTAGTGTTTCAATTAGGGGAAGTAAATATTGTTTTCATTCAAAAATTTATTTCTGTAATTTTGATATTTAACACGATAGCTACAAAACATTTAACATAAATATTATTATTTTTTTACTTTTAAATAGATAATATAGAAGGTTAAATTGTAAAATTTGATTACTTCATCATTACAAATCAAATCAAATCAAATCTGTTTATTTTGTGAACATAGGTTAATTTACAGATCTCGATGTGTACATCTATACATATAATAAATCTGTAGAAAAGTCGTGTCTGTAATTCTAATATATTCTTGAAAAAACAAGTCCAGGGGACTAAATAAAGGGTTCTGAAGCCAAATTAGTGGTTTTTAGAATTTTTGTTTGTCTGTCTTTCTGTCTGTCTGTCTGTGTATTCCGGATTCACGCAAAAACTACTGAACCGATTTACATGAAATTTTGTATGTAGGTAATCAGTAACCCGGGGCAACTTATAGGCTACTTTTTATCCGATTACGGAACTTCAAAAAAGGAAGGTTAAGTATATTAATTTCCTTTAGATGTTAATTTTCTGTTGTGTCTGTAGGCGGAATGACGGCTGTTTTTCGAATAAATACCATATTACCATATTTGTAAATAAAGTTTAAAATATAGTTATAATCTTGGTAAAATAATTTGAAACTACACCGATTTCGTATTAAAAACATCGCCATCTATCATCAAATGGAAAATGTTGTATATTTTGCCTTCAGTTACTAATAAATGAAATAATATAAATAACTTACATTTATATGATTAAATTATTAGATTTAAATAATTATTAAAAATTGTAACGTTCAGTTTTTTAGTATTTTTGTTATTTTATTTTAAAAGTGTAATAATTTCAATAGATAATAGTGACGTCTATCAAAAATATGAAATTTGATAAGGTATTTATTTCAATTACTAATATATATGTAAAGTGATAAAAATTGGTCTGTCTGCAATTGTTGCAAAATTTTCATTATCATCATAGTTTTATTAAAGAGATTTTTAATTATGTCGTGGCCAGATCGTAGAATTGATCATATATCATAAAGTAGTCTATCATTTCGTGAAAACACTGAAAAAATGACTGAAATAAATGTGATTACTATTTGATGACCGTGTCATGATACAGCTTGACCAAATCAATGAATAGAAATCTTTTGTAGTTATTAGTAACTAAACACAACGTTGCTATTTCATAATATGGTCATATGACGATATCATTATCGTATTTCACCGCTAGCGGCGCTGATAGCTTATTTTTAACAGAAACAGAACTTATTTCATGTAATATTAGCGCCACCTACTTACTTCTATTAAAATGGCAAGACATTGATAAAATGAAATAATACAATGCTACTGAATATACGATGTAAATAATTGAATCATTTACATTATGTTCATACCGCGTTGGAATCAGTGCAGCGAACTCTTTTTTGGCCAAAAACTACAGCCTGTGCCCAGTAGTAGCATGTATGTAAGCTGCTTTTTTACTTTTCATGGGGCAATATATGCAGTTTTTATTTCATTCGTGTTTTCGGGTATGATAATTTATGTTTTCACTCTACCGTAAATATTAAGGCTTGCAAAGATGAGCAGAACTCATTATCGTCAGCCTATCAAAAGTCCACTGAAATGATACTAGGCCTCCCCCATAAATTGTCAAGTAGCTGAATATTTGCTATAGTGGCGGGTTGGCAACCGCAGCTATTATTATTTTGATCTGTTGTCAAGAAGATGATGCAGATCATCCCATCTACTATTTTTTCCTATGTCGCCTCTTACGACGGGACGATATGATGTGTTGGATTTTCTTTCACCGCCACAACAGTGCGAACATTTTTCTATTCCCGTTCATGAGTGTAGTGTTCCTCACGTTCACTGTGTATAAAATTTATAAGGAATAAAAGTAATTTTAAGGATTTTATCGCGTTTAATTTTAACTTTTAAATTCCCGATGGTTTGGGCAATTTACAGCACCCATGGTCACGGGAGGGGTGGGAGAACTGAGGTGTTTGACGACCTGATGTCATAGTTAAAATAGAATAGTTAAAATGCAGTAGTAGTTTGAATTTAATTTTATTAATCATGGAGTCCTTAGCAGATAGTAGCACTCAGCCATCTTCCCTATTAAAATTAGGATATTTTTAATTTCAATAGCCTCGCGAATCATCATTGGTAGGATTCGGTGTTCTATTGCAAGGATTTGTTGTATATAATGGTTGGGACGGTACTAAACATGTTTACATACTTTAGACTTCCCGGAACTTCGGTGCTTTCATTCGGTGAGGAGTCAAGATGCGTAAAAAACCCGTAACATTAGTGTTGATGACGCTCACGTCGCTTTTCGAACACCTGAAATATAAATAATAGTAATCAATAGAAAATAATATATGTAAAATATATACTCATAAAACATTGTTACTTACCTTATGTACTTGTTGTTTTTCTATAATAAATAAGTACGTGTGCATACGGGGACGGTGGCACTTATCGCGATTTTTATTAGTAGGGTGAAGGTATATTTGCAACATCGGTGTTGCACCGCTGATTACATGATCCCGCGCTTCGAGTTAGTTGCACTAGAACATCATTCGAGGTGACACCTATGTCTCCCTCCCTGCGGATGTACACGCGCTCACCAAATTGTTTTAGTATATTTTTCTCCAAGACGACATCAGCGGCCTACATCATCAACAAAGTGGTCCTTCGGCCGAATCTTTACGTTGTCTGCAAAAAATATAATTATAATAAGTACCAGTTATGTTCCACACGCCGGCTACGCCGCACAAAAAGCGACGACCACGTGGCACCGCTGCAAAATCGGAGTGCAAGAACAACCAAGATGTGTTACCATCGTTCAGCTTAAAGGATGAAGTGCTGGAAAAACCTGAAAATGCGCAAAGTGCCTGTAGTAAGAGTAAAAAGTCATCAAAGACAGCAGGCACGTCGTCAAGTACGGCACGCAAACGGCAATTGGAATACGAAACCGCTAAAGCTATGGCTCTCGTGGAAATACAAGCAGCGGAAGCTGAAGTACAAGCAGCTGAAGCAGAAGCCAAGGTTAAAAGTGCTCGGGCAGAAGCTGTCAAGATTAAGGCAAATATTCAGTCGGAGCTGCTAAAGAAACAGCTTGCTGCTGAGATGGCTGAATTGGAATCTCGATCACGCTCTTCCCACAAGTCGGCTGTAAAATCTTCGACCAGCAAAGTTGAAAATTGGCTTAATGCCCCAGGAAACAAGCATGAGGAGAACCGAGAAGATTACTCCCGTGAAACATTCGGCCCAGAAAAGCTGGCACATGCCTTGAATGAGGCAGTGGCTGCCTCATCATATAAAACACAGAACCAGGAGCTCTTAACAAGATTAGCAACGTCTAAAGACCTGCCTTTATTTTTTGGAGATCCAATGGAGTGGTTGCAGTTTAAACAGGCGTACCAAGAATCTACCCAATTATGCAAATATAGTGACACAGAGAATTTATGGCGGCTGCGTAAGTGTCTTCGTGGCGATGCTAAAGAAGCGGTGACTTCACTCTTGATTGGTGGAACTACACCCGAGTTAGTAATTGACACCTTAGAACTTCGATTTGGCAAACCAGAAACAATTATGAGTAAAATAGTTCTACAGCTAAAAAAGCTATGTCCGTTGCCGCTAACTTATCATAATGATATCATTAATTTTGCAATAAAAATAAAGAACTATGTGGCTGCTACCAAAGCAATGCAACAAAGTGATTATCTTCGCAGCCCGGAATTAGTATCAATTGTCGTATCCAAGCTTCCAACTTTACTTGTCGCAAAATGGACCGACTACGTTTATGAACAGCGAGAGTGTAATTTACCGAAGCTGGAATTGCTTAGTGATTTTTTATACGAGGAAGCCACTAAAACAGCTGCATCAGGAGTAAGTCATATTCACGCTCAATATAATTTAAAGAAGCTCGATGAACGTAAACACCGTTCACACTCGCTGTTACTGTACACAAATAGTAATCAATTACAAAACGCTGAAAAGTGTATATTTTGCCGAAAAGGGGCTCATGGTGTCTCAGATTGTTCACGGTTTAAGCGCGCTTTACGCAAAGATCGCTGGCGATTTGTACGCGTAAATAAACTTTGCTTCAAATGTCTTGTCCCCCGCCATACGAATGGTATGTCTTGTAATAGCAGTAATTGCGACATTGACGGCTGCAATCAACCGCATCATCGTTTACTGCACTGGATTAAACCATTGGAAGAAAGCTTAAAAACTGTGGAGCGAGGTGAGGATGAGCATCCCAGCACCAATGAAACAGTGACTCATACAGTGGCATCCCACTGTCACAAGGTGCTTTTGAAATTTATCGTATTAAATTTATCGTGGTGCCGCTCACTCTTCACGGACCGAATGGCAGTTTACATACGCATGCACTACTGGATGATGGAGCTACTGTGACGGTGATATCCTCTGATATAGCAGATGAGCTGGGATTATACGCTGAAAACGTGATATTGCGCGCGCGCAGCGCATGGGACTCGGGCGAGCTTGTGTGTGAATCTCAAGTAGTGAGTGTTAGTGTTACTAATTCGTATAACGAAATGTTTACTTTCCGTGCGCGTAAAATTAAAGAATTAAATTTACCAACACAAAAAGTGCCGAATATGGACTTTAATAATTATGGATTGTTAAGTGAAGATTTTATGTTATGTAATTGTAACGCTAAGCCAAAATTATTAATTGGTCAGGACAATCATCATTTAATTACTCCCATTCGTTGTGTTCGTGGTAAGCGGCGTGAACCGTACATAACTCAAACTTCGCTTGGATGGTGTGTGCACGGATATATGGTAAGTGATGTTAATTGCACTGATCGCTTTGTCTCTTTCATTAATAGTTGCACCGAAAAGGCGGGACCATCGCAGTCTGTCTTTCACGTACACACGGTAGGATCGATTACTAGCGATCTCTCTCTCGATAATGATAATGGTGAATGTACCTGCGCGCAGTTGCACGATGCGGTTCGCAGATTCTTCACGTTAGAGTCTATTGGTGTAGGTTCGAAGCCGCGCCGCAACCCAGACGAAATACGCGCTTTACAAATATTAGATGACACTGCAGAATTAGTACCTAGTCAATGGACTGTCGGCTTACCGTGGAAATACGATGAATTACATTTACCCGACTCTTACCCTAACGCTTTTAATCGGTTAAAGTTAATAGAAAGAAAATTTTTGCTCAACAAAGAGTATGCAACTCGTTATTGTGAAAGAATGACATACTTATTTTCTAATGGTTATGCTAGAGAACTTAACAAGACCGATGAAAACCATAATAAACGTATAATATGGTATTTGCCGCACTTTGGTGTAGATAATCCAAATAAGAAAAAACTGCGTTTAGTTTATGACGCGGCAGCAAAGTCGAACGGTTATTCTTTAAATGATTTTCTTTTACAAGGCCCTGATTTGTTACAATCGTTATTAGGAATAATGTTACGATTTAGAGAAAACCGCATAGGTATCATAGGGGACATAAAAGACATGTTTTTAAGGATTAATGTACGGACAGAAGATGTTAATTCTTTGCGTTTTTTGTGGAAAGATATTTATTTAAGTAATGAAAATGAACAATTAGGCTTCGGAAGTAGTAACAAGGACGTCACTAATTTTCGGCGCTAATTGTTCCCCATTTATAGCGCAATATATTAACCAAAATAAAAACACATTGCGCTTTCAGAATAAAATGCCCGATGCAGTTAATGCAATTAGAAAAAATCAATGTATGGACGATTTTATTGATAGTTTACCAGACGTCGCTACTGCTACAAAAATGATAAAAGACGTTTCATATATTAATCAGCAAGGTGGTTTTGTGATGCGTAACTGGTTAAGTAACAATTCAGATGTTCTTAATGATATGCCAAAAGAGACTTTAAATGACATGGCGATACGGTTTAATATCGAATCTCAGCCGGAACGAACGCTTGAGCTTTTGTGGTTTCCCGCGAGTGATATGTTCGGGTTCGATCTTTCGTTAAAGCGTATACCGAGTGATATTTTACAACTATCACGAAAACCGACTAAGCGTGAAGTTCTTCGTATTATAATGTCTGTATATGATATTCATGGGTTTTTAGCACCTTTTACGATAAAATCCAAAATTTTAATGCGCGAAATATGAAATGTAGGTATAAAGTGGGATCAGGAAATAATAGATAGTCTATTTATTTTATTCAAAGATTGGATTTCGCAGTTACAAGAAATGAGTTACGTTCGAATCCCGCGCTGGTATTTCTATGGCGATGACTCTGTCGGTGCGAAAGAGAAGAGCGGTCGCACCGTAAACGACAATGAGACGTCTATGCAGTTGCATATTTTTTGTGATGCATCTCCATGCGCATACGCATGTGTTGCTTATTGGCGTAAATAAGACACCAACTGCGTGCAGGTGTCATTCATTGCGAGTAAAAGTCGTGTTGCGCCGTTAAAACCGTTAACTATGCCTAAACTCGAACTTCAAGGCGCGGTATTAGCATGTCGCTTGGCAGAGACTATAAAAAAGGAGCATAGAATTAAACCGCCGCGTGTTTTTTATTGGACTGACTCAATGATTGTTATTTATTGGATTCGTAACGAGCATAGAAATTACAAATTTTTATTGCAAATAGGTTAGGTGAAATTGATGAGTTAAGTAAAATTGATGAGTGGTATTATGTGCCGACAAATTTAAATATAGCGGATTTAGCTACAAAAAATAATGATTACGACTTCAACAAGGACTCCTCTTGGTTAACGGGCCCATCCTTTCTGTACACGGAAGAAAAGTATTGGCCCCGACAGCCTGAAAATAACGAAAAGAGCAACAATGAGCTGTTGGATAAAGTATATGTAGTAATAAAATCACCAAAGGAGAATTGTAATAGTATTTATGACTTACCTATTCCGGATCCAAACCGTTTCTCCGTGTGGTTGCGCTTGCTTCGCTGCACCGCATCTGTGCTGTTATTTATAGAAAAATGTAGAAAAACCGGTACTCGGTGTATTAATAATTTGTTAATGAATAGAGCCGAAGTACTTTTGTTACGCTATTCACAATCACAATCATTTCAGACTGAAATTGATTTGCTGAAACAAAATAAAGAAATTAATCGTGATAGTCGTTTACGTTCATTAACACCATTTTTAGATAAAGACGGCTTATTGCGTGTAGAAGGGCGTATAAACGCGGCGGCAAACGTCACTGAAACTATGAAAAACCCGGTGATTCTGGATGGTAAACATCGCATAGCAAGGCTGGTGGTTTTGGACTTCCACGTCCGTGCCGCTTATTCGTATAATGAACTTGTAATAAACGAGCTACGACAAAAATATTGGGTTGTAAATCTGAGACCTACTGTTCGCTCCATAGCTTCACAGTGTCTGGTTTGTCGAATACGAAAAGCAGCACCAAAACCGCCTCGCATCGGGGACTTGCCATCTCAAAGATTAGTTCATCATCAAAGACCTTTTACTGTTTGTGGTGTAGACTTATTCGGTCCGATCGAAGTAACTGTGGGCAGGCAGAGACCCAAAAGATATGGTGTTCTTTTTACATGTTTAACAATACGAGCTGTTCATATTGAAATGGTATCGACGCTTACCGCAGACTCACTTATTATGGCTCTTAGAAGGATGGCTGCACGTCGTGGGTGGCCTCATACTGTCATATCTGACAACGGAACCAACATGCGAGGTGCTGATACCGAACTTCGAAAATCTTTTGAAGAAATTAATCAGCAGCAAGTTTCAGCCGAAGCATTAAACAAAGGAGTTTCCTGGCAGTTTATACCACCAGCCAGTCCTCATATGGGGGGAGCTTGGGAACGTCTGATTAGAAGTGTGAAAACGGCACTGAAAGTCGTTCTTAGAGAGAGGTCTCCACGAGAAGAAGTTTTATTAACGCTTCTCGCTGAAGTCGAAAATATAATTAATAGTAGACCGATTATCCATGTTTCGGTAGACCCTCAAAGTAAAGAGGCATTAACTCCAAATCATTTTTTACTAGGATCTTCTTCGAACTTACCTATACCTGGGGTCTTTGGCGACATGTATCTTAGACGACAGTGGCGTATTGCCCAACGGTTGACAAACTTATTTTGGAGCAGATGGGTAAAAGAGTTTTTGCCAGAGCTAATTCCTCGACGTAAATGGGATAGGGAAGGTCTGCAATTAAAAGTAGGAGATCTTGTAGTAGTAGTCGATCCATCATTATTTCGTAACTGTTGGCCAATAGGTATTATTGAAAAAGTTTATCCAGGTTCAGACGGCAGAGTCAGAGTAGTTGACGTTAGGACTAAGTCAGGAGTGATGAAGCGATCAGCTGCTCGTGTGGCCTTTCTCAAGCTTTATACGGTTTAATATCGAATCTCAGCCGGAACGAACGCTTGAGCTTTTGTGGTTTCCCGCGAGTGATATGTTCGGGTTCGATCTTTCGTTAAAGCGTATACCGAGTGATATTTTACAACTATCACGAAAACCGACTAAGCGTGAAGTTCTTCGTATTATAATGTCTGTATATGATATTCATGGGCTTTTAGCACCTTTTACGATAAAATCCAAAATTTTAATGCGCGAAATATGAAATGTAGGTATAAAGTGGGATCAGGAAATAATAGATAGTCTATTTATTTTATTCAAAGATTGGATTTCGCAGTTACAAGAAATGAGTTACGTTCGAATCCCGCGCTGGTATTTCTATGGCGATGACTCTGTCGGTGCGAAAGAGAAGAGCGGTCGCACCGTAAACGACAATGAGACGTTTATGCAGTTGCATATTTTTTGTGATGCATCTCCATGCGCATACGCATGTGTTGCTTATTGGCGTAAACAAGACACCAACTGCGTGCAGGTGTCATTCATTGCGAGTAAAAGTCGTGTTGCGCCGTTAAAACCGTTAACTATGCCTAAACTCGAACTTCAAGGCGCGGTATTAGCATGTCGCTTGGCAGAGACTATAAAAAAGGAGCATAGAATTAAACCGCCGCGTGTTTTTTATTGGACTGACTCAATGATTGTTATTTATTGGATTCGTAACGAGCATAGAAATTACAAAGTTTTTATTGCAAATAGGTTAGGTGAAATTGATGAGTTAAGTAAAATTGATGAGTGGCATTATGTGCCGACAAATTTAAATATAGCGGATTTAGCTACAAAAAATAATGATTACGACTTCAACAAGGACTCCTCTTGGTTAACGGGCCCATCCTTTCTGTACACGGAAGAAAAGTATTGGCCCCGACAGCCTGAAAATAACGAAAAGAGCAACAATGAGCTGTTGGATAAAGTATATGTAGTAATAAAATCACCAAAGGAGAATTGTAATAGTATTTATGACTTACCTATTCCGGATCCAAACCGTTTCTCCGTGTGGTTGCGCTTGCTTCGCTGCACCGCATCTGTGCTGTTATTTATAGAAAAATGTAGAAAAACCGGTACTCGGTGTATTAATAATTTGTTAATGAATAGAGCCGAAGTACTTTTGTTACGCTATTCACAATCACAATCATTTCAGACTGAAATTGATTTGCTGAAACAAAATAAAGAAATTAATCGTGATAGTCGTTTACGTTCATTAACACCATTTTTAGATAAAGACGGCTTATTGCGTGTAGAAGGGCGTATAAACGCGGCGGCAAACGTCACTGAAACTATGAAAAACCCGGTGATTCTGGATGGTAAACATCGCATAGCAAGGCTGGTGGTTTTGGACTTCCACGTCCGTGCCGCTTATTCGTATAATGAACTTGTAATAAACGAGCTACGACAAAAATATTGGGTTGTAAATCTGAGACCTACTGTTCGCTCCGTAGCTTCACAGTGTCTGGTTTGTCGAATACGAAAAGCAGCATCAAAACCGCCTCGCATCGGGGACTTGCCATCTCAAAGATTAGTTCATCATCAAAGACCTTTTACTGTTTGTGGTGTAGACTTATTCGGTCCGATCGAAGTAACTGTGGGCAGGCAGAGACCCAAAAGATATGGTGTTCTTTTTACATGTTTAACAATACGAGCTGTTCATATTGAAATGGTATCGACGCTTACCGCAGACTCACTTATTATGGCTCTTAGAAGGATGGCTGCACGTCGTGGGTGGCCTCATACTGTCATATCTGACAACGGAACCAACATGCGAGGTGCTGATACCGAACTTCGAAAATCTTTTGAAGAAATTAATCAGCAGCAAGTTTCAGCCGAAGCATTAAACAAAGGAGTTTCCTGGCAGTTTATACCACCAGCCAGTCCTCATATGGGGGGAGCTTGGGAACGTCTGATTAGAAGTGTGAAAACGGCACTGAAAGTCGTTCTTAGAGAGAGGTCTCCACGAGAAGAAGTTTTATTAACGCTTCTCGCTGAAGTCGAAAATATAATTAATAGTAGACCGATTACCCATGTTTCGGTAGACCCTCAAAGTAAAGAGGCATTAACTCCAAATCATTTTTTACTAGGATCTTCTTCGAACTTACCTATACCTGGGGTCTTTGATGATGGCGACATGTATCTTAGACGACAGTGGCGTATTGCCCAACGGTTGACAAACTTATTTTGGAGCAGATGGGTAAAAGAGTTTTTGCCAGAGCTAATTCCTCGACGTAAATGGGATAGGGAAAGTCTGCAATTAAAAGTAGGAGATCTTGTAGTAG